CTTTCCAGGAGACTTCTAATACCCTAGCATTGTCATTTACTTTTATTAGTACATATTTATAGTACTTAATGATTATATTCCTCATGGGGAGTTGGTACATGTACACAACACATCTTTTTCCATTCCCCTTCCCCTCCCCTTCTCTCCATGTCTTAGTCCCCTTCCCATTTGCAAAAGATCTATTTCTCATTTCCTAATATCTTTTACTTTGCTCTTTATTTATAATTTAGGTTTCTCGTATAAGAGAAGCTATGGGAAACTTATTTAAGGTTGTGTGTCTGATTTATTTCATTTGACATTGTGGTCTCAAGATTCATTCATTTTCCTACAAGTAACTGGAGCATATCCTTCTTTATGGCAACAAAGTGGGTCCACATCCAGTCTGAATTACATTGTGAGACTCTCTCTCAAAAAAAGAAAACATCACGAGGTAGGTATGATGTGGGTCAAAAGTAAGATCAACCAGTAAGATTACAAGTGGAGCTGCTTACGTAATACTGATCCACTGGGGAAGCAGGTCACATGGCAAGAAGTGGAAAGTAACGAGCATTTTAGGAAAGGATGGCTCAGGAGATCCTGGTCACCCACCTGGGCAACTGATGGCTAGACTTAGTGGACCAGGTGATACCAATTACGGTAGAATCACTAATTTATTGCCTGTCGTTTGGGGAGGCATTCAGGCCTGGTCATTTCATCTTTTTCTTGAGGCTTGGCCCGTGACAGATGTGCGTTCAGCCATAGGTGTAGTAGGTTCTCATCTTCTGCACGGACTGTCTCTAGGGCGCCTGGAATATTTCTGCCTGACTTCACTGTCTGTAATACTACCCTGAGGAATATTCCCACCCTCAATATCTTAGTTCTAGTTGCTCATCAATAATTTCAGCTGTGACTTCTACCGGGGGTTAGCACGTTTCCACATATAAATAAGAACTTGTCAGCTAGAATAACTTTTTTAAAGGTAACAAACTCTTGACTACATTTTAGAAATAAAGATAATATTGAAAATTTCTTACCATCCTGGTTATTTTTAGCTAGAAGAGGGAGGATTTAAGCTCAGTTTTGTTATACTTATTTCTTAAATCTAAAATTCAGTTTGTGAGCCTTTTTCCAAATTACTTGGTTTTTCTGGTATTTAATTCATAAAGTTCTTCATAATAACTGAATCCAAACAACCTGTATTTTTTTTAGTGCAATTTCCTTGGCTTTTAAACAACTTGGATACTCAATAAGGAAAAAAACCCTTTATTTGAATTGCTAAGTGTCCTACAAACTCTGCCCTCCTACCCAGAACTCTGAGGCATTGCAGTTATTAAATATGCACACACCTCAGGAGATCTCTGTGGCTTATCCAAAAGCTTCAGGATACCTACTGTGCTACAGAAAGCGTTATGGTCTTCAATTGACCAAACTGGTTTCTTCATTTGTAAAAGGGAGATACTAGGCTAGATGATCCAGTCATCTATCCTGTTCTACATCTAGATCTCCACTCTTCAAATTGAGTAACAAGCAAAGAAGACCACTTTTCACATTAAGCAGAGCATCAATTTGTTAAATTTACATATATATGTAAATCCTATAATGCACTGTTCACCAAATGTGAGTAGTTTACAGACCTGCCCCCACTTTTCTTCAGGTCATTTTTGAGGAATAGTTTTTGTTTGTTTGCTTGGAACTGGGGATCTAATTCTCGACCTTGCACTTACCAGAGGCAAGCACTTGAGCCACTGAGCTAATCAGATCATTTTTAACAGCAAACAATTACTGCAGCCTCTAAACGGTGTTTTCTTGGGGATTTAGCTCAGTGGCATAAGTGCCTGCCTTACAAGCACATGGTCGTGAGTTCAATCTCTGCTACCAAAAAAAAAAGAGTGTGTTCTTTAACACAATTTGGCCACACATACTTATATATAAGGAAAATACCTAACAGCAGATTTCTACAGTGACATATACAAGTAATTCCCCAAGTTCCCCTAAAGTATTTATTTAAACACCCAAAACAATAGCAACAACAAATCTTAGAGTAACCCAAAAGAAAAGAGATGTTCTTTTCCTTCCTCTTCCTTGTAACTGTCAGCCCTTATGGCTCAGGATCATAAGAATTTAGCCTGATCTATAGTCTTAAACTTTTGATATAACCTGCAGGTTACAAAGGGAACCAAGTATATGAATATATGTAAGTACATATATAAAATTTATGTATGTTCACACATTGCAGCATATGTAACTAATGGAATGCATGCTATTTTCTTATGCTGTCTCATGTTTTAATGCTTCTTGTGAGGAGCTAAATTTTCCAAGTAAATCTTGTGTCTGTTTATGATACTCTTATGATAGAAAAATCCAAACCTCCAGATACCCAATATGAAAATAAAATTTTAGAAAACTATTTAAACATTAAAGAATGTTTATATACTTACACATTTCTTCTGTAATATGGGAAAGCCTCACTGTTTCATACCGATTTGGTAATTTGATATATGTAGTTCCTCTAAATGAGGTTGTTGTCTGTGTGATATTTATAGACCTAAATGAATTTAACAAAATCTTAATCTAGAGACTCTTAAGAGTTAACATAGTAAATATTTCTGGGCATGCTGATGCGTATTTGTATTAGCTACTCAAGCAGATAAGTTTAAGGCCAGTCCAGACAAATTAGCAAGGCTCTGTCCCAAAATAAAGTTCTGGGGATATAGCTCAGTGATAGAGCACTTTTTATTTTTTATAAACTAAAGAAAGAATTTCTGAGATCATATCCAGATTTGCAGAATTATAATTAATTTAAAATTCACTTAAATATTAATTGAAGCATATTAAATTAGGTTGAATTTTTTATATGGACAAGCATAACCATCGTATTTAAAAGGAGTATAGATAGTTTTAGTTCAGTATCTATAATTTAAAATGATTAATGTGTAACAAGTACTGTGTGTTCTCTCATTTACCTTTATTTTAGGAGTAGATACACATTTTAGAGCTAAAGAAACTAGGAATCAAGAAGATAAGTGAGGGCCAAGGATTTAGCTCTGATACCACCAAAAAAAAAGAAAAAGAAGAAGATAAAAGACTTTTCCAGCAACTGTCAGTAATACAGTTTCAAGCCAAGTACCTCTGATTCTAGAGGCTCCTTTTGTTAACAGTTGCTAGAAATACTCTCAAGTAAATATCAGAATTATAACAGAAGAGCTAGAGACACAGCTGTCAGAGCCACTAGACTTAGGGGGAAAGAATAAAAAAAAAAGATCTTGATACAATAAAATATTTTAAGATTCTTACAATTTGACTCCATCCAGATTTATGTGGGGAAGAAATTTTAACTTTTTTCTTTTTTTTTTTTTTTTTTTTTGTATTCAGGATTGAACTCATGACCTCTCGCTTGCTAGGCAGGCACTTGTGCTGCTGAGCTATATCACCAGCCCTGGAATTTTAACTTTTCATACCATCAATTTCTCTCTGAATGGTTTCTCAGATATCTTATTTGATTCCTTTCCTTCTTAGAAACAAAATATTATAGTTACCTTTATTGTTATTTATCACACTTCTTCCATAAAACATACAGTTGGCTCAACAACTTTTTAGAAAAATACTCAAAGTTACTCAAAACTTTTCTTGCTAACTAAAAATATAACACATATTTGTTAATACTCAATTTTCTTCAGTATCATAGTCAAAGTTTGATTCTAAGCTTTCCTTTCATTGGCTCAAAGGATCTTCTGAATTGTTTGATCCTCAGCAATTATCCATAGCATTGGGGTTACACACTTCTGTTTATATAACCTGTGATTTTGATTTTTTTTATTTCTTTGAATAATGGTAATTAGCTGTATAGTTTTGAGACAGTCACATAAACTATTTGAATAAATGAAAAACCTTTTTAAATGAATTCCATATCATTTTGAGTAAAATGTTTTTCTAAGTTAACCGTTTCCAAATCCCAAGTAACTGTCATTTTCTAACATAAGGAGCTGTCACATTGGTCTCTCTTGTCTTTAAAAATTTTAATACTATGTTGGGTATGGTTGAACATCTCTATAATCCCAGCACTTGAGAGGCTGAGGCAGGAGGATCAGTTCAAGGCTGGTTTGAGCTACATAGTGAGTTCAAGTCCATCCTGAACCCAACAGTGAGACCCTGTCTCAAAAAAATAAAAATAAAACAAATATTTTAAATTAATAAATCCAGATACCGATTTATTTCAAGAAATGTGGCTAAAATTCCAGTATAGAACAGTGACACCTGATTACAGTTGCTTTACCTGGTAACTGGCAAGTTGCTTTGATTCCAGATTTAGATGATTTCTAATTTTTATTAAATAATAAAATTTATAGAGTCCAGGAAATATAGTATTAAATATAAACTTAATTTTTTCGACTTTGGCTTATTTTCTTTCTGATGCTTTCATGTAAAAGGAGCTATATTGTATAAATTTTGTGCTGAACTCTACACAGTGGCTTTAAAAGTTTTTAGAAAAACATAAACTTGATTTAGCTCAAGTGCTTGCCTGATAAGTGCAAGATCATGAGTTCGATCCCGGTACCAAAAAAAAAAAAAAAGAAAAGAAAAGAAAAATGTAAAGTATCACCCAGTGAAAATGAAGCATCAGCTGTTTCAGAAAATTAATAAATATCAAGATTTGGATTAAGCCATATGTAAAAATATAGATCTGGTTGATGCAGAGAAAATCATTTGTAAATGTTTTTTATAAATTACTACTGTTGTAGGAGATGTGACCCAAGACAGTGACATTTCTGGGATATAAAAAAATACATCCTTTATGTTATGAGATTGTATAGTGAGAGTGCTCTTAGAATTAATATCATTTATCCTTTAAGAAGCTTTGAAGACGTTTAGAGAGTTTAGAGTTACCAGAAAAGGAGCTGTTTGGGTAAGTAGTTCTTTCTTTCCATGATTGCAGGTTTCCTTACCTGTGGACTTAGGAGCGCAGGGCGAAAGAGAACTTCTAATAATATTACCTTCTCTTCCTTCCCACCTCATTCCTGTAGGTGTACCAGCATTCGACCAGGAGAGACTGGAATGGATGTAACAAGTCGCTGCACCCTTGGAGACCCCAACAAACTGCCGGAAGGGGTTCCCCAACCTGCCCGCATGCCCTATATCTCAGACAAGCATCCTCGGCAAACCTTGGAAGTGATTAACCTACTGAGGAAGCACCGGGAGCTATGCGACGTGGTGTTAGTTGTGGGCGCTAAGAAGATCTACGCACATCGAGTCATCTTGTCGGCCTGCAGTCCCTACTTCCGAGCCATGTTTACAGGAGAACTGGCAGAGAGTCGCCAGACAGAAGTGGTGATCCGAGACATAGACGAGAGGGCTATGGAACTGCTGATTGACTTTGCCTATACCTCTCAGATAACGGTGGAAGAAGGCAATGTGCAGACCCTCTTGCCAGCTGCTTGTCTCCTGCAGCTAGCAGAAATACAGGAAGCTTGCTGTGAATTCTTAAAGAGACAGTTGGATCCGTCTAACTGTCTGGGCATTCGGGCTTTTGCAGACACACACTCTTGCCGTGAGTTGCTCAGGATAGCAGACAAGTTCACTCAACATAACTTTCAGGAGGTGAGTTGTGCTTGGTGATTTGAATGCATTCATGACCTGTTTTTCATAGGATCAGTACGGGTTTGCATTCTAATAACTTCTGCTTGGATATTTACAGCTAGTTCTAACTCGTAATGTTACCCAAAAATATGATAAATTCTAAGCCTGGCTTTTATTTTAAAAGCCAATTTTATGTTCGCTCAGCGAAAGTTGTTTCTCCCTAGCCATATTCATAAAAGACTACTGTATAAGCAAAAATACAGTTCATTAATTCACAAGATCTGTGCCTATTAGGATAGCTGGTATCAGTTATTTGCATAAAGTATTTCCTTCCTGATTATATGGATTATTGAGATTAAATTATACTCGAGATTATTTGGTGAAATAGTCATAAAAAATGAATTCAGATGATATTAAAAGAATTATAGTAACTCAGTCTTTTTCACTTATCCATTAACAAGTATTTGTAAAGCTACTATGTTTTATCCATGTGCTTGGGAATATGGGCTGTTATAATAGTGAAGAGAAACCCGAAGTCTCTACTCATGGAGTTTGTAATCTAACAAATCTAGTTAATGATTGCATAATCATAAATGTAATTAACTCTCAGTAGTGCTACTGAGAAGCATCCCTGAATGATTTAAAGGTATATAAAAAGATTAACTTTGATTCGGGAACAGCTCATAGAATATCCTGAGACATTAACAAGCATGACTGATGTGAAGAAGTAAAAAACCCAAGTGAGACCCAAAGAGCTAGGACGAGGGTGTAATATGACGTTCTCACAGGAAGAAAAGGACAGTTGATAAATGATGTGAAGAATTTAAGATTTAATCAAAAAATAATAGGAAACTATCAAAAAGTTTAAATTAAAAAAAGCATGGTCCGTTTTTCACATCTACCAGTATAACCTCCAGTAGATCAAAGATTTAAGCATATAAAATGAAACCGTGGAAATACTAGATGACATGAAACAATTCCTTTATAATCCTGGGCTACATAGTGAGTTTAAGGCCAGCTTCAACTGTACAGTGAGGTCCTATCTCAAAAAAAAAAAGAATTTCTACATGGTGGAACAAAGCTACATTGCTTACACAAAAGTTAAAGACAAACTGAGGGAATATGTTTGCAGTTCATATCACAGAGAAAGGTTAATCTTAATATCTCAAGAATTTTTTTGTTTTGTTTTGAGATAGTCTTGCTATGCAATTCAAACTGGCTTGAAATCAACTTTGTAGCCCAGGCTGGTCTTGCACTTGCAGTGATTCTCGCACTTCAGCCTTCTGAGTGCTGGGATAACAGGTGTGCACCATCAAAACTGGCTTTCAAGACTTCCTTTTGATCAATAACTAGCCCAGTGAGCTAACTGAAAAAAGAGCAGTAAAGAAAAAAATTCAAATTGCCTGTAAACATCTGCAAGTGCTGAAGTTTGTTCACACTGAACCACATGTTAAAACATACCCTGTGCCAAAGCACCGTTGTTTGTCAGTCAGGTTGCTGATATCTCAAAGCCTGTGTACCCTGCAGACAAGGCCTTTGGGAAGTGGGTGTACGGTGGTAGGAATACGAATCGCCACAACCCTGTGGAAGGAAACTTGGTGGTATGATCAAAATGACGCGCTGGTTTGTCTCAGCAGTCTTCCTCCCGGGACTCTGTATGACAAATAATGGAGAGTGGGACACCTGGACAAGGTGAACCAGAGGGCCTCTGTTTTTAGTATTGTGGTAGTTAACTTGTGTCACCTTGAAGAAATGCGCAGCTGACTAGATCAGCATAGTCCTGGTGTGGCTGAAGGGATTTGCTGAAGACAGAAGACCCCCCTGGGGGGGGTGACACCGCCATAGCTTGCTGCCTGATGGAGTAAAAAGGGGCAGGAAGAAGTCTCGCCTCTGTTTCTTGGAGAGCTCGCGCTCGCTTTCACCCTCAGCTCTGTCAGCAGAGACCTTCGGCCTCCCCACAGATGCCTGGGCCTGCTGAGGCAGCCCTGCGTGGGACCCACAGAGGACTCCAGGCCTTTGACCTTCGACTGCAGCCTGTGGTTCCTCAGGTTTCAAACGGCTGTTTTGCACTCCTGACTCCACAGGTAGCCACTGTAAGCCTGGCTGGTGAATCCTTACATGTTTATGTATCCTATATTTAATCTTTCTCTAGTGAGCACTTGTGGATACAAATATGTGCACTTGAAATAGCTGTGAAATACCCAAGTAAAGATATTGAACAGGCAGCTGACTATAGGAATCTCTACCTTAGAAGAGAGGTAAAGTTGAGATTAAAATTTAAGAGTTATCAAAATTATGCATTTTTAATTCCAGCACTTGGGAGGTTGAGACAGGAAGATCATGAGTTCAAGGCCACCCTTGACTACATTTCAAGATCAAAGCCAGCCCGGGCTACATAGTAAGACCCTATCTCGAAAAAAAAAAAAACTTAGCGGTTCCATTTGACCCAGATACTCCCCTCCGTGGTATCTTCCCAAAAGACTTGAAAGCATCATACCACAGCGGTACAAGCACACCCATGTTTATAGCAGCACAGTTTATAACAACTAAATCTTGGAAATAGCCCAAATGCTCATCTACCAATAAATGGATAAAGAGACTGTGGGGTTTTTTATAAAATAGAGTGCTACTCTGCCATAAAGAAGGATAAACTCGAGACATTTCTAAGTAAATGGATGCACCTTGAGACCATACTCTTAAGAAAAATGAGCTGGACACGCCTGTTCCAGTATTGCATGGTTTCTCTGGTGTGAGAAACTGAAAGTATAAATAAAGACCAAAATGCATAGTGGATATTGGGAAATAGGAGGAAAATGTTCAAATGAGAAGGGAAAAAGGGAGATGGGAAGGTGAAAGGAAAGAAAAGACAAAAAAAGAAGAAGAGGAGGAAAAGATGGAAGCAAAGCCTTTGTAAATAAAGAAGGGAAACAAGGTTAAAAGGAGGGAGAGGAGAGAGGAAAAAAGTAGCAAGATATATCGTGTTAGGTACAAATTCCCTATGATATATGTTATTATGTGTATCTAAGATGTACAATAAAATAATTAAATGAACTTTAGGAGTTGTCAACAATTAACTCATGACCTAATCCTTTTTTTTTTTTTTTTGTACCAAGAGTGAAACTCAGGACCTTGTTTTTGCCAGGCAGGCACTGTGCAGCTGTGGTACATTCCCAGCCCCAGCCTAATCCTTTTAAAGCAGGATATAATCTATAAACCATAAGGGAAAAGACACATTCAGTTGCGTAAACATGTAAAATGTTTTATATGCTACATATTCTAAAATAACCAGGAAGCTTCTGAAAATTAGTAGTGGGGCAAAAGGCCCTATAAATATTAAGACACTACAAACATTTTGGTATGACAAAAGGAACAGATTGGGGCATTTGAAAAGAATTTAGAAGTAGGCATTTCAAGCTAGTGGAGGAAAATAGAATTATTTAATGAATGTCATTAGGGTAGATGGCAGTGTGGAGGAAATTATACCCTAAACAGATTAAATTTCTAATAGATAAATCTTTAAAAAAATTCTAAAAGTTCTAAAAGATAGCATTAATTTTGTAGGAGTGAAAATCTTAGCAGGATATAATCCAAAGAGAATAATAAATTTAATTAGAAAAAAGTGTAAATTTTTTCCTTATTTAAACAATAAAAACTACCATAAACTGAAGATCAGTATCATATTCAGTAAGTAATGAAAAATAAGCAAGCTAAGAAATTTCAAATAGATGAGGAACTTATGAAACAATGCCCAGCTTCATTACAATTAAAGAATCCAGTATCAAAACAAGATACTTGTCAGACTGAAAAGATTTTTAAAGTTTATTTGAAAAAATCCAAACTGATAAGAAATTGCAGAAATAAAAGCTTTCACCCTTTACCAAAATTTACCATTTGTTAAAATTTTGCCCATTTGCTTTGTCATTCTGATGTGTAAATTTTTTCTTAACACTGACAGTTCCTTCATTCTCAAACACTGCTCTACTCCTTTCAGATTCCTTTACTCCTGAGCACCTACTATGATGATTGCAGAGTGGTGATTTTTTTAAAATTCCATATTCCTGTTTACATTCTTTTGCAAAAAAGAATTTTCCTTGTCCCTCAAGCTGATGGAGCTATTAGCACTGGGTTTATGGGTGTATTCAGACTCGTATGCATCTATCTTCAGAGCCACCCGAAAAAAGCACTGCCTTAGGCTCTTGGGATGATGGTATTGTGGTCACAATTACTCATAAGCACATAACTTATCAAAACCCATTGAACATGACATTTAAAATAAAGTTGATTGTTAATATATCCTGCTTTAATCACAACATTAGGATCTAAGATACTCACAGATATCAGAAGAACATTCTTAATAGTAGAAAAGGTCAAGCCAGGTGTGGTGGCACACACCTGTAATCCCAGGACTCGGGAGGCTGAGGCAGGAAGATTGCTGCAAGTTGGAGACCAGCCTAGATTACAAAGTGAGCTCAAGGCCAACCTGAACTGCATAGGGAGACCTTGTCTCAAAAAGACAAAAAAAAAAAGGTTCAGGAATCTAATTCTAGCTTTACCTTCAAAGTGAGTATGCCATGATAGACTCCTAGTGCAGAAACTTCACCTTTCATCATGTACTAGAGTGACTTCTTGTAAGTGCAAAAAAAGGGACACCATTTGGGATTTAACACTTACTTAAATTCCTTTCAGAAGTAAATATTTAATTTCCTTCCATTTCATTAGGTCCAAATTAATTCATAGTGTTACTTTTGTCTAAAATTGATCTCTTGTCTGAATTTTAAAATTGTCGTTAACCCAGCACTGCTAAGCTCAGCATATACTTCTGTTAGCCTAACTAGTTGACTTGCATATCATTCCTGTTCATTTTCAGCTTTCTCTCTTCTTGAAATAGCATCCACACTCACCTGAGGAAGCAAAGTAAGCCCATTACATAGTCACATGGGGCTTAAAGTTCAGATCTCCTCTAAACTCATCTAAGAACATGTTTTGAAGCATTATTAACTGGGTCATTTTGTGAAAGGGTTGACTTCAGTGCTAGATTGACTGTGATGGATATCACTACTATATGTTTCTTGTTGATGGAAAAAAGAGAAGTGCCATTTTAACCAGACTGTCTATCAAGAGTGATTTTCCTTTTTACTTGTTTTTACTTTTTCTTCTCGCTTAGTGCCAAATACTTCCTCACACGTTTTCATGTCTTCCTACCATTGCATGTTTCCATTAGGTATATTAGTATCACAGTGACTTGTTCATGAGCTTTAAACTTGGTTTTCATAGCCACTTATATAATATTTGATTTTTAATGTTGGAAGAATATATACTCTGATAAGATTTAAATATGAATTTTGGAAGACTTTCTTTAAATTTTGAACCCCATTGCTAAAATAGCCGTTAAAAAGATTGTAACACCAGAGTTAAGAAGAAACAGTGCTAATTAATCAAGAAAATGCCTCCACTTGTACTTAAGTGAAGAAATTGGAAAACAAGGGTAAGTAAATGCAGCCAGTGATAAAGTTGTGCAAGCTGTGAAGACCAGCACACTTAACAGAGCTGGACCCCAAATGTGGCTCTTGATATAGCCCACCCTGCACCCCACCAATATAGGATTGCCAAGTAAAATGCAGTATTCCTACTTAAATGTAAAGTCCAAGCAGCAAATAATTTGTAGTATAAATTGTCTAAACGTATATGCTAAATCTGAAAGCTATGCCAGAGTGTGTAAAATGCAACTATTTTAATTACCAAGTTGCCTAAGAAACCTCAGTGTTATTTATGATTTATGTCTAGATGCCTCTCCAAAGTCTAATGGGGTCATCAGTGAGGCTTTGGGGAGGTAATTAGATCATGGACCTCATACTCATCAGCAGATTCGTTCACTGATGTGTATTTTGCCTGTTTGGAGGCGGTGTGTCATGGAGGGGGCGGTGACATGGAAAGGCCTATCTCCCTGTTACCTTAATCACTCTCTGCTTCCTGCCTGCTATGCATGAGCAGTGCCCCTCTGCCATGCCACCCTGTCTTGAGCAGAATATGGACTAAAATCTCTACAAACTGAGCCAAAATAGGTCTTTTCTCCTATCAGTTGTGAGTGTTGGGTTTTGTGTCTCAGTGATAAGAAAGTCACTAAGACACTCAGCTAAAATTAAAGGTTGCTAGTGAATTTTCTGAACCCTAGGAAGTCTCAGATAATTTGAAGACTTACGCCATAAAAAGGTGTAATTGACCTTAAAGGTTTCATTGGTCTAATTCTCTCTGGTTATATTCATGCTTGCAGAGACACTGATGTCTTTAATATTTTTGTAAACTGATATTTTGGTATTTTTGCCCTAACATTGCCCTTCTATCAACTACTGTATTCTTCTGAAAACATTTCCTGACTTTTTGGTGTTGTCAATTTGGCTTGTGTTAAATATGAATTTTGGAAGACTTCCTTTAATTTTTGGACTCCATTGCAAAAAAGAGCCATTAAAAAGACCATAATACCATAATGCAGAAGAGTGCTAAGTAATCAAGAAACTGCCTCCTCTTGAAACAAATGGATCAGTTAGTGTACATGAAAGTGCTAGAAATGCTAAAAAGCTTACAGTAGAGGACATTACAGAGGTGCTGAGTAATAAAGTAATGTTAGAGCACTTGGAAGGTTTCTGGGAGTTGAGAGAATAAATGCGTAAACTAAATTGACCACAAAATGAAATTACTGAAGTATGCAAAACAACAGAAATTTTCACAATGCAGAGAAAAAGGCATCAAGATAAGAAAAGAGAAACCAAGAAGCAAGGATTTAGCTCAGCAGTGTAAGCTCCTGCCTAGCAAGCAAGCACAAGGTTGTGAGTTCGATCCCCAGTACTAAAGAAGATTAAAAAAGAGGAAAAGAAAGAAAAGAAAAACCAGGTATTTTACATGCACCTAAATCCCAGCATTTAAGAGATTGCGGCAAGTTCAGGCTACATAGTGAGCTCCAGGCCAGCTTGAACTACATTTCAAAAAGACCTCCCAGATCAGTCCAAGAAATACATTTTATACATAATGGAAACACCTGAAACAGTACAATACAAGCGAACCTGAAACAATAATTAAGAAACTACTTGAAGAAAATTTTGCAGAGCTGAAAAACCAAGTAGCCTTACACAAGAGTCATAGTGTACCTTTAAAATCTAGTGAAAAGAAAATGACAGCTAGACATATTATGGTGACTTTTTAATTTCAAGGATTAAAGTTGGGGGAGGGATCTCACAAATACCCAGACAAAAAAAGCAGGTTACCTCTAAAAGGGGCAAAAGTCAGGCTGACCTCAGATTTTTTTCTCTTGTAATTCTAAATGACAGTAGACAATAAAACAATATCTACAGAGTTTTTAATCATTTTTTCCCTTTTCTTTTTTTTTTCCTTTTTTTTTTTTTTTTTTTTTTTTTGAACCGGGGTTGAACTCACAAGCTTGTGTTTGCTAGGCAGGCGCTTAAGCCGCTGAGCTAAATCCCCAGCCTTCTACAGGATTTTAAGGGAAAATAAGTTTGCACCGAGAATTATAGCCTGTCAAATTACTATTTCTGAATGAAGGCAAGTAGAATACATTCTCAGATATCAGGGACTAGGAAAATATATCAGCCAAGAATCTTCTCTGACATTTTTCTGAGTGATTTACTGTACCCAACAGAAAACAGAAATTTAAAATAACTGAAGAGGCTAGCATGGTGGCACATGCCTATATTCCCAGCACTTGAGAGACTGAGGCAGGAAGACTGTCGTGAGTTCGAGGCTGACCTAAACTACACAGCAAAATCCTGTCTCAAAGAAAAGAAAATTGTACAAAAGAATTGATAGCATTAAAAGTAAGAAGCATGAAATTTAAAATTGTAACATGTAGGATAATAAAAGTAAATACAAAAACAGATTTTAAAGCTAAATCTAAATTTTTCTGTGTATGTAGTTTTAAACTGTCAAAAGGCATGCCAAATAGTGAATGTATTGGGCAAATACTGTTTTATTGTCTTGGGGTTAAAAATGCATGTTGTTAAACCAGATGTATGTACAATAAAGATACTGTGTCACTATGGACAGGACAGGTGCAGTAAACACATTCTAAATGTTAGCCTGACGAAACTGGAAAATGGTGCAGTTTCATTTTTCTTGTTTAACTACAAAGGAAAAAACTAAAAAGTTGTCCCTAGTATTAATACTGATAGTGCAGGAAGAAAAGTAGACAAGACCTTGTTTGATATACTGAATTGGAAAATATCGTAATTCATTACATCATATAGTAGTTCATATAGTCAATTTGTCACTGATTTGAGAACAAAAATAGACTAAATGTTTTCCCAGGTTTTGGAGTTGAAAAGTGAAAAGCCAAGAAAAATTAGCAAGTGAAAAGTGGCAAGGAAGCATTAAAATTAGCGTAAGAAAATTGATAGATGTGAGTTATCATATATATAAACGGGTTACATGCTCAGTGAATGAGATCCAAATTGAGTCAAAAATCAATATGGGACACAGGATATTCACATTTATATAAAACAGAGTTTAAAGGCAATAGAAACCCTTTAGGTCATAGAAATAGAGATTAGGCTGGGTGTGGTGGCTGTAATCCTAGCATTTGGAATGCTGAGGCAGGAGGATCATTGCAAGTTCAAGACAAGTCTGGACTACAAAGTGAGCTCAAGACCAGCCTGAACTGCATAATGAGACCCTATCTCAAAAAGACAAAGAAAAAAATAGAGATCAGCATTTTTATTAGGCAGAAATATGGATATTATTTTAACAAACTTTATGTGGTAAGTACAATGGCATTCATGTGTAAAATCAATATATTTTAAAACATACATTTGAAATTAGTGTATTTTATGTACTTATATTTATTGAATAATCCTTTAAAAAGAGTACATGTGGCAACATATGAATTTTTATTTTGATCTTTATAAGGAAAAATGTTATTTTTCTTAAATTGCTTAAATCACAAGTATATTTGCTGGATTTTAATTGCATCGTCTGTGCTTTTCTTTTTGTCTTTTTAAATTTTCCCTCTGGCATAAACTTCAGCACCACTGTGGAGCAGAGTTTTTGCAGTATATCCTAAAAAAAAAATAATAAATACACTCATAGTTTTTTTTTTTTTCTTTTATTCTGACCTAATTTTGAACAGGTAATGGAGAGTGAAGAGTTCATGTTACTTCCAGCCAATCAACTCATTGATATAATATCTAGTGATGAGCTAAATGTTCGCAGTGAAGAACAAGTATTCAATGCTGTGATGGCCTGGGTCAAATATAGTATTCAAGAAAGACGTCCTCAGTTACCCCAGGTAAAACTAGAAATGCTTCTCTAAGAAAACTGCTTTGTACTCAGAAACAATATGCACTTATCTTTGTAGAAATGCTGTAGTTATCACCTTCCCTTATATTAAACTAAGAAAACTTGTCTGTTTCCAATAATCAAGGGAGCGTTAGAAGCATTTTGATTAATTATCATGTGAACTCTTTACTCTTTGCCTCCCCTCTATTTTGGATTCATTCTATATTTGAGCTAAAGCACAATTCAAAACTTACATAAAATGAACAAAAGCAAGCAAGGATGCTCTTTCCCTGTCTAGCAATTTGGAAGTCCTGCCATACCTTGATCAGTAAGGAGATGAATGGGAGCATGTGTGGTCACTGAGTGAAATGGTTAAGACCATTCTACTAGGACTACACAGTAGTCCCCGCCCTACCCACAGAGGATCCATTCCAGGACCCCCGGCAGAAGTGTGAAACCTTCAAGCCAATCTGTACTGTTTTTCCTACCCATACATGCCTATGGTAAAGTTTGATTTATAATTAGACACAGTAAGAGATTGACAACAATGAATAATAGTATAGAACAGTATTGGCAACATACTATAGTAAAGTTACTTAAAATTTAGAAATTACTTATCTCTGAAATTTTTCATTTAATATTTCTGACCAAGGTTGACTACCAGTAACAGAAACCACGAAAATGAATTGTAGATAAGGAGGAACTACGATGTTCTTTAGCAGTTCAACAGCATATTTTTCCAGATTGTTAGTTTCTTTGAGTTCAGCTATAAAAGGGTTTATAAGATATTGCTAAAAGCTTTAAGTAGCATGCTAAAGTGATGTTACTGTGCTTCTAAATTACCCTATATTACTTAATTGCTGATTAAAATAAATTTAAATTTTAATATTTATGCCTCCCATTCTTACTTGTCCTGTTCGGCTAGATCCCCTATCACTTTGAAGTGCAATGGGGGGCCAGGGGTCTTGCATTCTCTTAAATGTTGTGCAGCAACATTATGAATAAATCTGGGAGCTCATGCCTCTAACAGTGTTTACTACCTCACAGGTGCTGCAGCATGTTCGTTTGCCTTTGCTTAGTCCTAAGTTCCTGGTGGGCACAGTAGGCTCTGACCCCCTCATTAAAAGTGATGAAGAATGCAGGTAAGAGTGGCCCTGAATAAGACAAATCAGTACCTGAGCATTCGTTCCTATTTAATTTTAACCTCCTTCAGTGGTATTGCTTCTAAACTATTGTATTTCTTAGCACTAAAAGTAGGACAGTATTTTAATGGGTTTTCTTCTGGACCAGATCAGGAGAAGCAAAAGAGCAAACTGAACGTCAATATTTCTTTCCATTAGTTTTTTAGGTAGTGGTGCTGATTAGTATAGAGTAGCAATAAAGAGGTAGATTTCTGAGATTTTAAAGCAAGCTTGAATAGCAAGAAGCAATTTTCTGTTTTTCCCTTGAGATGAGTACTGCTGACTTTGTGTCGGTGAGCACTTTTTATTCCATCACGTGGCTTTTTGGGGAACAGGACCAGCCTTGCTTTCTAAGATCTGTTAAAGATCTGTTATCTCCTAAAGAAACTTTTCATGTGCCTAGTTTCCAAATTTTTTTTTACCACCCCACAAGAAAAAAGAAAAAGCCTGTTTTACTAGGCTAACTCTGTTATACATACAGTTTAATAAATTAATATATCAGTTTGACACTTTTTAAGATTTAGCTTCAGTCTAAAACCATTTGACATTTTTAAGGTTTCTTCCCCCAGATGTTCCAGATGTAAAAGTGAGAGAACAAGTCAGTACCCGGAATTCCTCAGCGTCTGCTGACCTTTGTGGCTCTCTCGATGATTAAAGAAATTTGGAATTACTCCTTATTCCGGAGCAGAAGTGGAATATGCATTTTCACTGTATTTATTCTACAATCTGAAGCCTGTTCCTTTAATGGGAACTGTTCCTTTAACAGGGGTGTTAGATATTTGCCTTTTATGTTTTCAAAAAAAACAAATGACAATTCCCCTTGAATATTTACAATAGCAGAAAGCAAAACTATGCTGAAATCTGAAGACCAAATGTATGATGTCCCTTCCCCATTCAGCATTAATCATTCTGATGCAGAAAGTAAATTCAGAAAGAAATTCAGAAAGTAAATGCAGAAAGTAAAAGTACTTGCAAAATCGCTTTTTTTTTTTGGTATGGGAAATTGAACTCAGGACCCTGCACTTGCCAGGCAGGCACTGTGCTGCTGTGCTATGTCTCTGGCCTGAAATCACTTTTAATAAAAGACTTTTCTTGTTATCCTTCCCTCATCATTTATTAGTTATATGCCCTTTCACAAGTTATTTTAATCTCTCTGTACTGTAGTTTCTTGTACTATAAAGTAAGGATAATAACAGTGCCTATTCCGTGTACATTTTTTGTAAAGATTTAAAAAGTTAATATAAAGAACTTTAAAAAATTATATATAGAGAGAGAGAGTTTAAGTTTACATATGTAAACTTAAAACTGGGGCTAGTAGTTGTATTGTCATTGGTGTTTGTTTTTGGTTTTTAGTGATTTTTTTGGCTTGCTAAGTTTTAGCTCTGAGATATTCTTTAAGTATGGGGAGAGACAAAAATTCCTAATTATTGGCTTGCTAAGTCAGTGTGCCTGTGTGTGTGTGTGTGTGTGTGTGTGTGTGTGTGTTTGTGTGTGTGTGTGTGTGTTAGTACAGATAAGTTTAGGAAAAGCTTTAGCAAAACCTTATATTGGAAAGTACAGGGTTGGGTCATGCCTGAGACTAGTCTAGCAGGAATAAATTACTCTTTGTAGCAAAATGACAAGAGAACTAAAAATATAGAGTGGTTTAGGAAATATTTTGAATTGAGGACTAACAGAATTTGTACTCATCAAGCACTGAATCACTTAAAGAACTCAAGTGAATTAAGTACATATACAAGTTGTTTTAGGATATTGTATTTAACAAGTACAATTCTCAAATTATTTTCTTTCTTTCTTTTTTTGGTACCGGGGACCAAACTCACAACCTTAGGCTTGCCAGGCAGGCGCTTATGCCGCTGAGCTAAATTCCCAACCCTCAGATTATTTTCCTAAAGTACCTTAATGAAAGAAATTTTCATTGAGCTCAATGGATTTCTTGAGGTTAGTATGTTCCCACTGGTTTAAACCTCTGGTAGTACACACTTGACTGTCCTATTGGGCAGTTTGTACCACTGGTTGTACAGACTGACCCAATCCTTTTATCAGTCTTTTTACTAATAAAATTAATAAAAAGCCACCCAGTGGGGCAGTTGTACACGTACCACTGTGGTTTAAGCCACCTGGAAGCAAGACATACAAATTGTGGCTCAACTGTGAACATATGAAACCATTAATATGCTAGCAGATAGTAAATTAGTACTAAGTGAATGTGCACTATTTCTTTTTGAGAAACCAATATTTGATCCAGTTTATTATGATACTTAATTTAGCAGATATCTTTTGACTGGTATGCTATTTTATCCTACAAAATCTAATAAAACTCATTTTAAAAAGTAGCAACTAGGTAGACTGGTAATCAAGTTGTAGTTTTTAGTTTTTCATAAGTTATTGACAGCTATATGTATGCTGACCTTTAAGCTGACTTTGCACTGAGATGTAAACCAGTTTACAGTTTATAGTGTGAGCCATATCACTGTTCCATGTTTGTGCTAATTTTAATATTGGCTGGCATTTATGATTTGATTTATGATTGCTCTCCTTTGCCAACCTATATTTTCCTAAACCATATTGAAACTTGACTGACAATGTTTTTTTAGACATTTAGAAAAAAGGAAATTATTTTTTCTACAGAGATTTGGTAGATGAGGCTAAAAACTACCTCCTGTTGCCTCAAGAACGACCATTAATGCAGGGACCAAGGACACGGCCACGGAAACCTATCCGATGTGGAGAAGTACTTTTTGCAGGTTTGGATCTTAATATACCATTACTAAGCCAAATATTTTCCCACATAATTTGAATTGTCATCTGAGCAATGTAATATCTTTTAGAAAGTGTCATAATGAGTCAACAAGTAGCTTGACTCGACCCATGATCCTAAAGAATACTCTTATTTTATATACATACAAAATGGATGTTTTTTGAAATGAGGCACATGTATTAGTTGATATACTGGTGTGCAGGTCACTTTGTAGTTTCATGGAGTTGCCAAAAAAAAAAATCTTAGATAACCTTACGCTCTTTTCTAGCTGTGTTGCCCTAGGTTGAACTCAGGATAACTTGCTGTATTATATTGTTTTACTCCGACTGTCTGCCCCTAAACTTTTGAGATCATTCAGTTTCAGGTGCTGCCATTCCATCCTTAGAAAATCAGCTCCTTTGTTCACCTGAATAGTAGCTTTCTCCACTGTTTATTATAACTTTTACAGGAAGGGTATTCCCTAATCCAAAAATCAAAAATGCCCCAAAATCTTGTTACAAAAATGTTTTGGATTCTGAAGCGTTTCATATTTCAGATTTTCAAATTAAGGATGCTTAGCTAATTTAAAAAAAACTGTGTGAATACTCCAAAATATGAGAGACTCCCAAATCCGAAACACTCCTGGCTCCAGGCATTTCGTGTAAGGGATGCTCAGTGTAAACTAGTTTGTTTAAATTCCTGACTTACGGAGCTGGCGGGAACCTAACCACACTTCTGAGTTAAGCATCCAGATTTCAGTTACTCCACGTGCTGTAGACATCAGCATCCTCTGATTCCACCCGATCATCTTGATATGTGAAATACTCTGTTCCTTCGCACTGGAGAACTTTATGCAATCTCTGGGGCACAGCACCCTTTTCATCAGTTTAGCTGGTAGTTTATGTTTTTCTGTTGATGTAAAAATATATTGCCCCTTATCTTTTTAGAAGAAAAATGTGATCATTTGTGTTTTCAATTCCTTTATAAGTTTTTTCATGCAATTTTCTTCATGTAGAAGATAGCATTTCTCAAAAAAGAAAATTAGTACCAAATTTCCTTTTCTAATCATCATTACGCTCTTTTTTTCTGCTTTTGGAAATAGTTTTTCATTTTGTTTCCAATGTCTACTGTCATGCGGTGCGTTCTCTCATACTTCTAGTGTCCTAATGTCTTGTTTATTATTATTAATTGACTTATTCTGTTGTCATTCTTATCTACTATTATTTTCACTCTTTGTATGCACACATATGTACATGTTTATGCATGCGTGTGGGTTTACACAGACACTTGCACACTGACACACGTCTGCACCCTCACTCTACCAGTCTAGAGTTACCAGATGTTAAATAAATTCATCGTGAGAGAGTTAAGTTCATATGTATTATGTATAATATATATATATAAAACATTTCTTCACCTTTAAGCTTGAACTATGTAAAATGATATTCTAAAGTTCTTTTTTATATGAAAGTAATTTGCTTTACCAACTGCCCCTCCAAAGAAGAATGCTATAGATTACATCCGAACTTGTATTTCCCAGTTTTGAAAATTGGTCAGCTTTCCATTACTGGGACAAAATTCCTGACAAATATGATTTAAAGCAGGATAGATTTATTTGGGCTTAGGGTTCCAGAGGTTTAGTCCTTGGCTGACTGGCTGTAAGGCAGAATCATCATAGGAGGAGAAATCTGCTCCACTTAAGGTATCCCAGAAGCCAGTGAGGAAGGCGCCATGACCCACTCAGAACTGTATTTTGCAGTGTAGGCCTCGAGCCAATCAGGTGTCAATGAAGATTAGCCATCACAAATGCAAGGACTACACATCTAATTATTTGATACTGGTGGCTTTATAATATTGTATTGGTTCCAGGCATTATAATAGGCCATCTGTTGAAGTTATGTCCATTATTTTGAAAATAATAATTTGCCTGTTTTAGTACCTAGAGTTTAAACTGGGAAAAATGAAGCACAAGAAAACTTCCCTGCCATCCAAGGCCAAAGACAAAGCCAAACAATGCGTCTTTCAGTTCCAGGGTCCTCTCTGGGTTCAGTGGGGTACCTACCCAGGGAAGAAAAGGCTTGCCTTTGAGAATGCTGAGAAGCAGTAATGTAGCTCCCCTTAAAACGGAAATGTTGACTTGACTTACTCGGCACTGCTGGCTTTATCCTGCTGAGTCCTTTTATCCTCTTCTAATATGACATTATTATAAAATATCAAGCAGCAAGGGTTCCCTGTGCACTCTCTTCACTTTAATCACCAACCTACGATGTAGTTCATTGGTTGAGTGCTTGCCTCGTGAGTGTGAGATGGCTTTCATCTCTGCACCACAAAAATAATAATACTTGAATAAAATGATAATGACACTTAAAATCTCACCTACCTCTTTTCATAAGATCATTGTGTTAGTGAAGCCACACTTTGCCTTTCTCAGAAACCAGTTAAATTGGATCTCTTCATGGTCTCAGGCTGTTAGTATTGATCTAATAATTGCATATTGGTATCTGATTGTTGTACTGTATTACTAACTAATTGAGGTCAAGGTCAATTATTTCTACTTCACCTCTTTGTAGCTTTCAGGCTGTGTAGCAGTCAATGAAGAATAATTAAATGCTGATCCTGAGAAACACTAGTGAGAAATTAGCATCAACCATCATGAATAATGGAAAAAAGAAAAACATACCAGTGACAATTGTGAATTACCAAAAAACGATTTACAAATACACCTTCTGTATGAAAGATAACCTATTTTTACACAATTTTTTGCAGTATTGCAATTAGATCACTTATTTTTAAATAGCACTTTTGGTTTTCTAAGTAAAGAATTGAATACACATGCGGTATAGAATTATTTGTATTTTTTTATTTTTTAGCAGTGGCAAAGATTACTTAAGAAAATAAAAGTAAAAAGCGGGAGAGAAACTGGCTCTGCAGCGCTAGCTCAGGAAAAGGATGAGAGTAAAGCGTAGACGTGCATGCTGTACCTGGGAAATAGCGTGGGCTGTCATGGAAAGGTACAACAGCCTAGAAATTCTGATTAATAGAAACATAAAGTTAATCTGTATTTCTTACATTATTAAAGCTTCCATTTTCACTTGTAGAGGATAACTATTATCTCTTTCTTTATGAGGAAAAAGAGTAGTTTTCCCTGCCTTCTCAATTGTTTTATGGTATCTGAATCTGAACTCTATCCTTGACTGATACTGTTCATTTTAGATCAGGATCCATTCATCTCTGGATACTCTGTAGTTTACTTTGGCTTGTACTGCTCCCGCCCCACATCATCTTTGGAATGCCATATCATCAATTCTCAATTATCCTTGGAGAATCGGATCTTATGCTATTTTTACTTTGTGGAAATAAACTCTGGAAGCTAAGATCAAATGTGTAACCCTTGTGGGTTTTGACTCAGCCGCACTTTACTCCTGTTGAAATCTTTCTTGTGGCTTTTCTTCTGTATTCTGTTAAGTTTCTTGATGCTTCTTTAAGGTAACATTTTTTTGGCCATATCTGTCTAAAGCAGTGCTTTTTTTTATTAAAACATGTGGAAATTTAAATCTGATACTATACTACTTACTGCATTTAAATATCCACGCACTGACAGTAAGACGACTTCCACTTCAGGTCCCATCTTCTCAAGACAGAAGCCTTTAAGAAAGAGGAAGAAAAAGCTATCTTCATGTGTCTCAACACGAAAACTGAAGTAGTGAAGCAACAGAGCTGAGATTTTGCTCATGCCCTGTGCTTTCTAACTGTTAACCACTTAGTCTCAGGACCAGCCTTGCTGCTTATCCCCCCATCACTTTAGCCTGTATTTAGGTATCATCATCTTTTGTTTCTCTTTTGTTTTCTGAGGCAGGGTCTCATGTGTAGCCCATACTGACCTCAAAGCTGTGTTCTTCTTAGCCTCAGGAATGGCAGGAGCACAGGCGTGTACCACAGCACCAGGAGTAATAGTCCTTCTCATAGGTATTCAAAGCTCACACTAAACAGTCAGTTCTGGGTTGCAAAAGAAGATTTATTTTTTGCCACTTGTCCATAAATACCAAAGCATTTTAGTCAACATCTTATGAATACAACATTATTTACATCCCCATTTCTACAGTATTTTTCTTCAGATATATTGCTTAACAACACAAACTAATAGTTCCCAGAGCTGGGACTTCCATTTTGCTAGTTACAGTGTATAATTCTGCATGGTCTACCTAACTAAATGCCGTGACCTGAGTGGCTAAAACAATAGAAATTTATTTTCTTATAGTTCTGGAAGCTGGAAGTCCCAAATCACAGTGCTAGCAGGGTTGGCCAGCCTTCTCCTCATCTTGCTATAGAGAGTGCCACCTCTGTCCTCACACGCCTCTCCTCTGTGTGCAAAGACCAACAGTGAGAACCCTGGTGTCTCTTCACCTAATGGACGCTAGTCCCATAAGATAATGCCCATACCCTTATGACCTCATTTAAGCATAATTACCTCTCAACCCTCATATTTTCAGCCAGTGTTATTTTAGAATTTACAATGCTTTCCCTTTTACTGAAATTCCGTGTATGTGTCCATTACAGAATTCAGATTTAAGAACTGGGGATGTGGCTTAATAGCACATTTTCTTAGCACATATGAAGCCCTAGGTTCAACCCCCAGCACCACAAAAAAAAATTCAAATTTAAGAAAATGCCTATACACAAAACTTGATGTAATTTAGTGTTAATTTCTTATTTAGTTGGTTTTTGGTTGTTTTGTTTTGTTTCTGAGATAGGGTCACACTGTGTAGTTCAGGCTGGCCTTGAACTCATGGGGCTACCATAGTCAGCTGAATATTCTTATTAAGTGAACCTATGAAATAAAATTTATATATTATATTGAGATTTGAAATAAAGTAAACTTCTAGATTTCATCTAGAAAGTGCCCTTTTAGCATGGTTTAGGATTTGTTTTGTTTGTCTTTTTTATCGGTACCAGGGTTCGAACTCACGACTGCCTGCTTGCAAGGCAGGAGCTTATGCTGCTGTGCTAAATTCCCAGCCCTGGTTAAGGATGTTTTGAGGTTTACCATAGTCTCGTGCTTCACTTGTAAAGCTGCAAAGTCTAGCTTTTATTTGGATCAAAATAGAGATGATTTGAAAGAAAAATTAAGTAGATAAGCCAGACATGGTGTGCACAACTGTAATGCCAGCACTCTAGAGGCTGAGACAGGAGGATCATCACAAGTTCAAAATCAGCCTAGACTACATGGTGAACTACATAGCAGGACTGTCTTTTAAAAAAATTTCTTTTTAAGTTTGTAAACCCTAACCACACTTTTTTTTCAGGGGTCACTCAGAGAAGCTTAATGGAACTCAGTTTGAAACTTACTCTGAGTATTATTCACTATGCTCAGTCTGCCCTAACAAAATAGTATAGTCTGGGTGAGTCAAACAAAAGTGATTTGCTTTCTCACAGTTCTAAAGACTAGAATATAAGATTCTAGCTGACTTAATTCTGGAGTTTTTTGTTTTTGTTTTTGTGAGATAGGGTCTCTCTGTGTAGCCCAGGCTGGCCTCAAATTCATGTCTCTTGCCTCAGCCTCCCGAGTGCTGAGATTACAGGCCCAGCTTAATTTCTAGATATGTTTTAATCTACTTGTGGAGACACTCAGTAAGTCCACACGTTGAGGGACAGTGCGCTCAGCGTGAGACGCTCTGTGCTTTAGGGCAGGTATTCTCTTAAGCATTTCTGTTCCCTCCCAGTTGGTGGTTGGTGTAGTGGAGATGCCATTTCCAGTGTTGAACGATATGATCCACAGACCAATGAATGGCGGATGGTAGCTTCCATGAGCAAAAGACGATGTGGAGTCGGGGTCAGTGTTCTCGATGACCTGCTATATGCAGTAGGAGGCCATGATGGGTCCTCTTATCTCAACAGTGTTGAAAGGTAAGATTAATTTGAAATTTTTTCTCTACTATGCCTGTAGTTTCATTTGAGATGTAAATTAGAAAACAGATGTGATTTCTTTGCTATTATGTGTCTCACATCTGTCGGCATTTTAGATCACTTAGCATGATGTACAGATCCTTTGCAATCTGATGTCCAACTATTTTTTCTAGTCTCTCTCCCACTGGGCACCACCATTTCATAAACATGCTGCCTCGGACCCAAAAAATTGCTTGATTCTTTGACATGCTATCTTCCTTCATACCCCTCTTCTGTAGGTGCATACATACTGTTCTTTCATCCTTGAAAAGCTTTGCTCCTGTAAGACCCAGACATTACTTCCTCCTTGGCTATACTCATTCCTCTGCTCTTTCATAAGTATTTTAAACGTGCTGGTACTACACATCCCACTGTAATGTTTGCTGATAGGTTTTCTCCCGTAGTGTCTATCACAGTGCTTGAAACATTGGAAACCTACAGTGACTGATACTGTAATGGCTTCTTTTTCTCACAAACCCTTTTTCATTTACCTGTATTGATTTGCAATGATTTTTGCACTCTGTGCAGCCCTATGGCATATCAGTTTCTAGATAAACAGATAGTATAGCTGGAAAAAAAAAAAAAGAAAAAGGAAATACAAGGATCAGTCCTTGTACATTAGTGGAGGACTGTAGATCATGTAGATCTTTTGATTTGAAATACGTAAATGTAGCCAAGCTTTGTTATGTGATACCAGCTCTGTCCCTGATGTGTTCTCTGCAGATACGACCCCAAAACAAACCAGTGGAGCAGTGATGTGGCCCCCACGAGCACCTGCAGGACGAGTGTCGGTGTGGCCGTGCTTGGTGGCTTTCTCTATGCTGTGGGGGGCCAAGATGGTGTGTCTTGTCTCAATATTGTTGAGAGGTGAATCTTTTAAAAATCATTTTCGGGACTGGGGATTTAGCTCAGTGGCATAAGCGCCTGCCTTGCAAGCAGGCAGTCGTGAGTTCGATCCCTGGTACCGATAAAAACGAGAAAGACAAAAAAAATCATTTTCAGATTTTCATGTTTGTTTGTTTATAAAGAAAGACACTGCTCTACAAAAGAAACACAGCTGAGTTTAGGCTGTTGGGGGATGCACTCACTGTTCAGTAGATTTGCTCATAGGCTTTCAGGAAAAAAGTTTTTAATTTTAAAATCTAGACAGATGAAAGATATAAAAGATATTTTTAGTTAATTTTTTATTGATTTTTGTATTTTTTAACACGTTATACAGATTAATTGGTTTCATTAAGACATTTCCTTATATGTATATATCTTGCAAGTTATATATATTTATGGTGAACAGTGCAATGTTTTGAAGCATGTCTGTCTTGTAGAACAGCTAAGTAAAGCTAATTAACATATATACTACCTCACGTCCTTAACATTTTCTGTGGTGAATACACTTACATTCTATTTTCACAGCAATTTCCAAGTACACAGTTCATTGTTATTAACTGTAGTCACCATGTTGTACGTTAGAGCTTATTCCTGAAATTTTAGCCAGCATGGTGGCACATGCCTATAATCCCAGCACCAGGAAGGCTGAGGCAGGAGGATCACCATAAGTTCAACACTAGCCTGGGCTACATAGTAAGTTCAAGACCAGCCTAAACTGCATGGCAGAACCCTGTCTCAAAAAAAAAGAAAAAAAAAAAATCCCCCTCTCATAAAAAGAAAATAAATTTTATACCCTTTGACTAGCATGTAATCCTCCCAACTCCCACCTTCCCTGTAGAGCACTCCCCATTCGTCTGTCTTTTCTCTCTTGGATTTCACTTATAAGTAAGATCACACAGGATTTGTTTTTCTGTGCTTGATTTATTTCACTTGCCATAATGTCCTCCAGGTCTGTCAGGTCCATCTATGTTGTTACAAATAAGATTTCTGTCTTTTTAAGGCTGAATAGTATGTGTGTGTGTGTGTGTGTGTGTGTGTGTGTGTGCGCACGCGCGTGTATACCCCACATTTTTTTAAACCGTGACAGTATCTATGTGACTTCAGACCAGGTAGAAGTGGCTTCACGTAGTAAGAACGTGCATTCAGCCTGGCCTCTGTCCCTGCAGGTATGATCCCAAGGAGAACAAGTGGACGCGGGTGGCCTCTATGAGCACCAGGAGACTGGGCGTGGCAGTGGCTGTGCTGGGAGGGTTCTTGTATGCTGTCGGTGGCTCTGATGGGACTTCTCCACTCAACACAGGTTCGTTCCCTCCAGAGTCAGGCTGATTCTCCCAAACAGCACTTTTTCCTGAGCAGACTCGAAAAGTATAAAAAGTCCAGATTGTCTTATATTTTATTAAAAAATTTTATTTTCCCTCCAGGGAAGTACAGCTTACACACAGTTCCTGCAGCTGTGTTCTAATACATTACCAAAATGTTTTTTTCTCCCTCTGCTTTACCAGCTGTTGGAAATGTGCAGTGAACCAAAGGAGTACTTTTTTTTCCAGAGATGAGTATTTTTGCTAAGGATATTGTCAGTATAGCACTTGCATCAGATTCACTGTCACATATCTTGTCTCCTCCTAAGTGGCTTAAACTGCGCTAGGCAATAGGCCAGGGTATGTGAGAGGACCGAATTGTCTGGTTATAAATCATCAGCGCTGATAATACCGTTTAAAGTTACCTACTAGTCTAATTCCCCCATTTAAAGATACGGCGGAGAGCGAGGCCGAGGGGTTTGTACTCCAGCACGGCCCTTTCCACCATAACACACTAGAAGCCAGTCCCTGGTGAGAGCAACCTGTGACATTTCCAAGGGTGCACAAGTCCTCAGGAGCACAAATCAGACTGCTTATAGTGTAGTGTCACAGTGGCTGTGAAGACAACGAGGTGAGAGGTGGCGGTTGCATGGTCACTCACTGGTCTTCCTCATCCTGCAGTGGAACGCTACAATCCTCAAGAAAACAGGTGGCACACCATCGCCCCCATGGGGACCCGGCGGAAACACCTGGGCTGTGCGGTGTATCAGGACATGATCTACGCGGTGGGAGGCAGAGATGACACCACAGAGCTCAGCAGCGCGGAGCGGTACAACCCCAGGACCAACCAGTGGTCGCCAGTGGTGGCCATGACGTCCCGGCGCAGTGGAGTAAGTGTCTGCTCTGAGAGCGCCCGTATTTTTTGAGTAATTTATTACACTCTGTAAAGTAACAGGTCTACTCACGGTGCCTGCCACGCCTGATCTTTGTTTGACCGCGTGGCGGGAGCAGGAGACAGAGTCAAGGCTGTGCCGCACCGTCCCCTGAGCAGCCCGCTCCTGAGCAGCCCTCTCGTGTCACCTGCGCAGTCCCAGCTTGAGCACCACGCAGAGAACACCGAGCAGTTGCGCTTTCACGGTCTGGGGAACGCATTGCTGGTGCGCAGCCACCGCTGCTGCGGGTGGTGCGGAAAGGGACGCCCGGGGCGGGAATGGAGTCCGTTCTCCGCGAGTATCCCGCAGTGGCCTGCAGCGAGGGACACATCCCCAACAGGAAGAAGCAGCAAGCAGGACCGAAGTCCCCTGAGCCAGAGAGAAAAGGGAGTGGCTCAGGCTTGCGCAGGCCACGCCCCCCACTCCTGCAGCTTTTTATTACTGGCGGCTAACAACTTCTTAGTCACCTCCCTTTTGATCACATCCTTTTGATCCATTAAGTGCTTGTTGTGGAGAGAAAGCACCCCTGAGTGAAAGGTGCTTCCTCCCAGGACCCCGCTTCTCCCAGAGAGGAGACTAGTACATGCCTTGGGAGCTGCACGGATCCGGGCACCAGCCTAGGGAGAGTGGACATCTTCACAGTCACACGCTGGACTGCGAAGGAAGATGGTTTTCTAGAAGAAGGATGAAAAACACTAGCCAACCAACCAGAACCAAGTACTGCTGAGGCGGTGGGGGGAAAGGAGCCATTATTCAGTGTTGGTGGGAGTGCCAGTTGGTATAATCCGTGTGGAAATCACTACGGTGATGCCTCCTAAAACTAAAACTAGAGGTTCCATTTGATCCAATTATTCTCCTCCTTGGCATCTTCCTGAAAGACTTAAAAGCATCATACCACAGTGATGTATGCACACCTACATTTATAGTGGCACAGTTCGTAATAGCTAAGTCTCAGAAACATATCAAATGCCCATCAATGAATAAATAGATAAAATGTGGTTTATACAGTGGAGTACTATACTGTCATAAAGAGAGATAAACTTGAGGTATTTTTGGGTAAATGGACACACTCTGAGAACACAATTTTAAGTGAAATAAGTCAGATGCACATGTGCAGATATCACATGCTCTTGTGTGAGAAATTGAAAGGGTAAATAAGGACCAAAGGATCGATATTGAGAAGTAGTAAGAAAATGTTCAAATGGGAAGGAGAACAAGAGAGAGGGGAGGAAGAAAGGAATGGAAAAGGGTACAAGAATAGAAGGAAAAAATGGAAACAAAACTTTTGTAAATGAAGGAAGAGAAGAACAGTTGAAGGGAGGGAAGGGGAATTGGGAAAAAAAGAATCAAGATACATCATGAGCTGAGCACAGGGACACACACCTGTTATCCCAGCACTCGAAGGACTGAGGCGAGAGCATCGTCCTAAGTTCAAGACCCGCCTGGGCTACATAGTGGATCAAGATGAATCAGAACTACAAAGCAAGGTCCTGTCTCCAAAAAAAAAAGGTACCACCACGCACTGGTACAAATTCCCTGGATGAATGTGATCATTATGCCTTACCAGGGCCGGGGATGCCACTCAGTGGCATAAGCGCCTGCCTGGCAGACAGAAGGCGTGAGTTTGATCCCGGGGACCAAAAAAAAAAGTATACTAATGAAATTAATTTAAAACACCATCCAGGAAACAACCTGTACAGAAGCATGGAAGTGTGAAGAATAACTGCAGTTTAGGGTCTGGCGTTACTCCAGTGTTACTGCAGCATAAGGGGCAGTAGGAGAAGGGAAGGGAAGGGAAAATCCAGGAGGGGTGAGAAGGTGGCCTGTGAGCGCCACACAGGATTTAAAGTTATGACTGGGCAAGAGCGGGGCTGGGAAAGCTTTTAAAGATGAGTGGTGACTTGGTTCTGTTGGTATTTTTAAAGAGTTTCAGTGGCAGTTTAAAAAGTGGATTAAAGTGAGTGATACTAGAAGACGCTAGAGCAGTTGGGAGATTCTCTGTTTTCATTTGCTTGTTTGTTCATCTGTCTGTTTCTTATGTTAGCCATGCTGGTCTTAAACTCTGGGCTCGGGTATTTTTCCTGCCTCTGCCCACTGAGTATGTGGCCCCACAGGTGTATACTGCTGTACCTAGCTTATTTTAGAGGTTCTTGCTTTCTCCTAGTGAATGCTTTTTCTAAAATTCAAGAAATTAATGTTTTGGACTCTGTATGCTTATTGTAATTAGTTACATAATTTTATGGTGCCCATAATTTCATATATTTTTTGTCACTGTTTTTCCTCTGTGTTCAAGTAAACCTGAATGTAAAACTCGTAAAGAATTAAAGAGCTCTGTCTAGAACCCCAGCAGAATTCCCAGCACTGTCCCTGTCTGGCGTCTTCAGCCGCGGCTGTCTTGGTCCCCTAGGTTGGTCTGGCAGTGGTCAATGGACAGCTCATGGCAGTCGGAGGTTTCGACGGCACAACGTACTTGAAGACCATCGAAGTTTTTGATCCCGATGCCAATACATGGAGGTAACGTGCAGGCGGGTTTCAGAGCGCCTCGCTGTTGACCCGAAATCATGGCTGGGAGCCCATGTTCAGCTGAGGAGATCAAGGCACTGAGACAAGGAAGACCTGCCCACAGGAGTTAGACCTGGAACCAGGGTCTCTGGCTCCCAGATGTCAGGGCACATTTTTACTGTTTTTGAGGGAAGCCTTATAACCATGGGCAAATTTTTTCACTCATTTTTAAAATAATATTTTGTTGCATTTTAAAACTTGTTTTTTCCCTTGAGCTTTTATAATCGATTTATTGGTTATTCTCTTTTGAAATTAATAAACTATAGCAATCATTTTTAGTGAAGTAGCTACATCTTATTCAAAAGAGATGAACTGTGTTAAACTTTATTTAAACATTTAATTTTACATTCTTTTAAATTCCTAATTCTCAGAGCTGGAGCTGTAGTTCAGTGGAAGACTGTTTATCTGGAATACATAAGGCCCCAAGTTCAGTCCCCAATCCCCAGAACTGAAGAAGGGGCGTGGTGGGGGAGAGAAGCTTAACTGTCACCAGACATGGTAACACATGCTTGTAATCCCAGCATTCTGGGAGGCTGAAGCAGGAAGATCAGTCACAAGCTTCAGCCCAGTTAGCCTGCACAACTTAGCAATTTAGTGTCTCAAAATAAAATTACAGGGATGGGGGGGTAGCCCAGTGGTACAGTACTTGCCTCGTATGCACAAGACCCTCAGTTCAGTCCCCACTACCAAAAAAAAAAAGGCAGAAAGTTTCAAAATGAAGTTATTAAAAAGGGCCAGGGATGTAGCTCAAATTAACATAAATGACTCTTCCACTTACTTAAATGTTTATAACTTTTATAAACTTAGCAAACTCTTCTTAAATCTTTGAATCTGTGTACTTAGTCATTAGTTTGAAATCTTTCCTCAGTCACACATTTTATATTAGATTCACAAGGCTAATCTGATAGATGCTCTAAACTGCCAGGTACTCTTAAATATTAGTAGAACTCAAAATGTACTGTACTGTATTTCATAGCTCTTCTGGGTTAGTCTTCCAGGGAAACGGCTTTACCTTCCAAGCTGTTAGTTGTTTGCTTCTCAATACATTGGGCTTCCTGGCCTCAACAGGGACACTGATTCCAAGGGGCTGAGGCTGACCATCAGCCAGGGATTGTCCAGCCTTCCAGGAGTTTCTCTGCCTTGGAGCACAGCTGAGCACGGCCTTGGTTACACTCTGAAAGAGACAGCCTCAGAGTCCATTCTGCTGGATTCTGGTGGTGCACTTGCCAGCTGCCTGTTCACTCAGCATTTTTTTATAGTCTTCATCTCTGGGAAAAACCACAACTCTTCTAAGTATATAAATGACTAGCTTTGGATTTTGCATGTTTTTCACAATTCTTTGTGGCTCAATAGTTAGACTAATGAGCACATAATGATTTTTGCTCTAATAGTGCATTTTCACAACCCTGTTCATTAAAGATTCACTGAGTATTCCAGGCCCTGGGAATGCAAAAGCAAACAAAACAGAACTCCCTTCCCTCCTGGAGCTGGCATTGTAGTGAGGGGGACAAACAGCATCATGCCACAGCGTGGAAATGCTGCAAGAGTAGCGAGAGAGGAGGGCGAGGGAGGACGATAGGAAGGCCTCTCCGCAAAGGTAACATTTAGGCAAAACCACGTACAGCCAAGAGATCAGTGATTGCAGGTTTTCATGAATAGGAGCCCCTACTTGTGGTGTATTTTCTTCCATGGGTATTTTTCTACTTGTAATGTCAATTTTAAATAAACTTAATTTGGGTAGACAGCCAAATTTATTTTGCCACTTTGTATAATCTGGACTTGCTTTTCAATAACTGCCGCTAAGTAAATTAGTAGTCCCTGCTGAAGTTACGTTCATGAGATTCTTGAGGAACATCTGTAGAAAGATTAATATATATTCTTGCAGTTATGTCTCAAACTTAAAATAATTTTACATCACTGATGATTGAAGATCTAGTGTTCTTTTCCACAAAAGTCTTTAATACAACTTCATTTCCATGACCTTGATCATAATCTGCAGACTCGAAACTGACACTGGTTACTCACACAGGATTTGAGGAAGCTTACAAGAATACGTGCAAGACAAAGCCATAAAAATAATCAAGAAAGTGTAACAGGGGAAAATGTAGGTAAAAAAATTATTTAACAGTTACGTGATTGTTAGAAGCCAGTCTAGGTGTAAAATTCTCATGGTGCTCTTTACTCTTTAAACAGCCTCCCATAGGTGAGAGCTTTTTTCTCAGTGTCTGCAATAATTTCAGTAATTACAGTACTCAAAGCTGGCTTCCAATCCTTGGAAGAATTACATGAAGCTGAATATATTAGTCATGATATAAAACTTAGAAACAAGTTTGATTAACATCTTACATGTACAAGCAGCAGTCCTTTTTCTGGTGAAAAAGTCTAATTCTGTCTCTGCCTTTGCAGGTTATATGGTGGGATGAATTACCGTCGGCTGGGAGGTGGCGTAGGCGTTATTAAAATGACACATTGCGAATCCCATATATGGTGAACATGTAGAAGACAGTCTTGTATGTGCTCCTCTGTGTTGTGGAGAGCTTTGACTTTGAAGCGTTGTACAGTTTGAGAAAACATTAGAACAAATTTTATCTTTTTGCTGGTGCCTCAACATATAGAAATACAAGTCTAATGACACTATTTCACCTGCAAGATGCCACCTTTGCACAGTAATTTTCAACTTTGTGCAGAAGACTATTTATTTTTTATTTTAATTTATCATAGTGTTTGGTTTGGGGTTTTTTGGCTTGGGCTTTGTTTTGGTTTTTACTTATCCTTTCTCCCACGAAAAAGGGAGAGAGAGAAAATCCAAGCACCGCTGGGCATTGCAGCGCCCTCCTCTAATGCCAATACTCAAGAAAAGGCTGAGGCAGACGTGTTGGAAGTTCAAAGTCAGCCCCAGCTACATAGGGGATTTGAAAACAGCTTAGATATGTAGCAAGACGCTGTCTCAACAACATTTAAAAAAAAACCACACAAAACTTACTTTGTAAGCTATTGATTTAGTTTTGAAAATCCTGGTAAGGGCAGAAGGGCTAGTTCTACTAGACACTCCCTCCCTATGACCTACTGCTACTGCTGCAAGGCTTAGTGATCGGAACAAGTATGAGCAATGTATCAGCCACTCAGCATCCTCACTCTACACCGGAAGACTTGGAAACCTATAAGAAACAAACTTATCCTACGAAATAGCAAATGCAAAAGAAATATCAAACCAGTAAAAGCAAGATTCTCATGCTACGGTTTTCTTCAGCAAAGTTATAACTTATCTGCTTCTAAATGAACTTGTCTTCACTCTATTTAAGATTCTTTTTTTTAATACGGGGTTTCTGCTAGTTCTAGAGCTCTGCTCAGTGCCTCTTGCAAAACATCACATGAGTCTCCCTTTGCTGTCTTGAGAACCACACCAATATAATCACTCGCAGCTCTGCGAGTTTTTGCTCACCCATGTTGTCGAGTGAAGCAACTGACATCACTACCACCGAGCAGCAGAGAGAACGTCCTTTGCCCGGGAATCAGCCCTGTGCGGCAGTTTACACTGCAGCTCAGGCCTGGCACTGCTGAGGCTGGCTTGCAGTAACAGCCTCCAAAGAATGGAAATAGCACTTGTTGATGAGTGTAAGACCAGTAGAGGCATTTTATCAGTGTCTGGGTTCTTTTATGCAAACTATGTATCATCATCTTCATTCTGTAAGGTCACTGTTAATTCTCTCAAATTGCACTTCCTGATGAAGAGTTAAGAACTGTAAGGAAATAAATGGTAATGATTCAGTGGTTAATTTTTTTTTCTTCATTCTATTCATAGACCGGTTCTTTTCAGTGCATTTTGCAGGAAAACCTTAAAGACTTTAACTGCAACCAAAAGGAATAACCTTCACCTTCTCCCTCTCCCTTACAACAAAAATGTTTGGCAACATTTGTGTTTACATTTAAAGATCATTTGCACCTTTTTCAAGAAAAAAAGTATTTGGTAAATAATTGTTTACATGTATCATTTATGCTTTTTCTAGCATGTATAACTTTTTTAAATAAAGGTAGTACTTACCATAAAATTGTTTTCGATGACTGCTTTTTTAATGCCTATTCCTTTGCTATTTGTATTTTCATGTTTCTGTGTCATTTATATTGCTTTGATGTAAAGTTACAAGTGCTTTCAATCTGATGGGATAAAGGGATTAAGCTAGAATTGAGTTTTATTGTTTGTTATATATTTCATATTACCCAATCCTTCAGCGTATTTTCTGGTGTGAAACTTAGAATCATAGAATCTTGAGCTGGACATGCATTTAGTCCAAACCCATTTAGTCCAGCGATCTACGTCTGAAAACCAAGGATATCTGCCAGAAGGAGTCAGTTATCGAGAGGTCTGACGTTAGATCTGCTTGCCGAACTCTGCTGTCCCCTCCTGTGCCACACCACCATGTCAGGTGGATACAGGAAGGCCACTGCATGGCCTGGAACTAAGTGTAACAAACTGCTGTAGTTCGGATCTGAAGTGTCCCCCAGAGGCCCGTCCATCGGAAGCTTGGTCCCCAGCCAGCGTGCTGTTGGGAGACCAGGGAACTGTTAAGAATAAGGGCCTACTGGAACAAAGTTAGGTTACTGGGGGGGGGGGGTGTTACCTTTTTGAAAAGAATATTAGGACTGCTAGAGGGAAGGAAATAAATAACAAAAATGTGGAGAAAAAAATTCTAAGAACTACTCTCTCCATTAGAAAGTTCCCAGTGACAGCAGTTCATATGACAATGATTCAAGAGTAAGGAACAGGCTGGGGATGTGGCGCCCTGTGGAGGACTTTCCTAGCATGCATAAGTCCTGGTTATGATCAGGAGCCCTACCAACTCCCCGCATATGCAAACAAGTACACACACACATACCCAGAACTGCATCTCTGGCCAAAGTTTTGATTGTCTTGGAATTTTTCTCCCCTCATGCAGGCACTGCAGTTTTACTATGAAATGTGTTCTGTAAAAGACATAGCTATTGTATGTGCAAACTGATTTCCACATTCTACAAAATGGATGTGGTGGTACACTCCTGTAATCCCACCACTTGGGAGGCTGAGGCAGAAGGATTGCCACAAGTTCAAAGCCAGTGTGGACTACGTAGTTCAAGACCTCCTGGATTACACAGCAAGACCCTGTCTCAGGAAAAAAAAAAAAAACTGGGGCCAGGGATGTAGCTCAGCAGCACAGTGCCTGCCTTGGCAAGCATGAGGCTCTGAATTTGATTCATGGTACCCAGCACGCCCAAAAAAAGATTGAGATAAGGATTGGGTCAGCGTTCATGTTCATTTGATAAGTCCACTGAAGCCTGCAAATAATAAAACATGATACCATAGTGGGATATGAATTCACATCCCCAGATTCCCATTCCTTTGTACTCCATACTGCTCTCCATATTCCTGTTTTTCTCAGTTCTGTTGCATGTTTTACTTCCAAATATTTGTTACTGCAGATACTTTTTCTGTGAAAAAGAACAGTCTTCCTGAACAAGCTGTGCAAAGCCTTTCAAAATCTGTTAAGTGTTGGGGTCTGTACCTACACCCCACAATCCTCTAAAAGGGTGCACGGCAAAGGCTCAAAGGAATGAGACACACGGCATGGTCTTTAGGGCTGCGGGAGGAGTGAAATCCTCAGCAAAGCTCGTAACTGCTACCCAGCTGACTGACTGACACTAGGTATCCCGTATTTAATCAGAACAAGCAAAGAGTTGAGTGGACAATGGAGGAAACCTGAACAGGATCTTGGGAGGGTTCCAAGGCCCTCAGAGCAACAGACGATGCTAATTAAGGAAAACTATCCAGAAAGTCTCCAGGTGGCCTCAACTGTGGCTATCCTGCCCCCTAAGGTGTTTCCTCATTCTCAGTTCAGTCATGCCAGGAGCACGCCACAGCCCTGCACGTGTATTCAGCTTCAGTGGTCTCCATTATATCCCTCTTTCTTGTATTGTTGATACACAGGATGGGTGCCAGCTGAAGCTGGAGAAGCTGTCTTAGGAGAACTCCCACAATTTAAACTCCATAGTCCATCAGTTCATAACAGTCAGTTACCAGCATAGCCAGCAATTGTCAGAGGATGTTAGTGACCCGAGCTTCCCCTACAGCCAACAGTTTACATTGTGTTGTACCTCCGGAGGCCATGTTTCTCTGCAGGAGGTTCAAGACAAAGCTGAGGTGAGACCTGCTTTAAATACAATCAGTTTCTTACTGCCTATCAAGGTCGGTTAAGTCTCTTCAGGAATTATCTTAGACCCATGTATAGCACCTCTTGGCTTTTCCTCTGGTGTCAGCCATCAAGATGAGTCACAGCCAATGCTTGACCAAGTTGCTATCCATGAAAGCTTGGGAGACTTTTCTCCTGGTGACTCCTTAGGCATCCCTTGCATCAAAGATCACTTTCCTCTATGGTCTCAAAATCTTCAGAAGACCAGGGACTCACTGATTATCTTAGGATGATGCAAGCAGAGGTTCTTCTATGTCCTAGGTCCCCACTGACCTTGAAGGGCTGGGGCCAAAATATTGGCTGTCCTTTTATCCCATCTATCTCTCTAATTTTTGGTCTCTAAATCTCAACTGTTGAACATCCAGAAGAAAAGATTGATAACAATACAGTAGATTAGAGGCAGTTAGCTTAACATTACTATCTTAGCTAAACATGAAGCACCTTAGTACATTAAATGAAACTATTTTCTACCATCCATGGATATCTTAGCATTTGAATACCTATGCTGTTAGGTTATATATTTTACATAGTAAATCAGGAATTAAAACCATACATATTATTGTATCATGACAATCATGACATTCTTATAGTAATCTGAATATCCATTTTGACATAAAATACCCCTTTTAGTAAATCATCCTTATGTAATACACAAGAAGTTTCCATCCAACTTATTGGCCTGTAGTGGAATGTGAATCTCACAAGTCTTTGGTACCAGCAGAGGTCTGAACATGAAACAGAAGTCTGTTACCCTGAGTAATCCCTGTTTTACAATCTGGGAGACCTACGCATCCAGAACCATGAATATATACAATACATCACGAAGTTGATAGCAATAAACAGTCAGAGCCATATGAAGCCTTTGCACAGGCATTTTAAAACCAAAAACTTACTGTATTATTTCTATTGGATAATGACGAATGTGAATATAACCTTTAGTTGGAGTGTCTCTTACAAGGTTGGGGTCTCCGGTCAGTAAACAAGAACTGGTTAAAAATGTTACCAGGCAGCTGCTTTCTTATTTACCAATCAGAATCCTGTCCAACAATCCCAACCTGTTTTTTATCCTGATATTATTTTTCTTTTCTAAATAATGACTTTCAAGTTCATAATAACAAATAACACACAATACTTACATATCCAATCATTGTATCATTTGGACCAGCCAACAACCAAAGTGAAAGCATGCTTTGTAAATTCATAACCTAAATGAATTTTTTATCAAATGATCCAAAAATGAAAAAAAATTATTGAGTTCAAAATAAAAGAAACAGCTGTTCACAGAGCAGACAAATGGACAAATGTAAATAGGCGATCTGTACAGACTCAAACAGAAATAAGCACATAACCCATCAGGATCCATGAGAACTCTCCAAGTTCCCCCGGAGCTGTTTATGTATTCATACCTACACCCCTTTGCTAAACTAGCTCATCTCCTACACTCATGCTCTCAGGGCGTATCCCAGGTGTTCTGCGCCACTTGGGCATTCTTGTGTGGGCACTTGTGCTTTTTTTTCCCACACATGTGAATGGTCACTAGCTTAGCAACTTCTGACAACTGCTCACAAACAAATTGAACAAACAGGTAACAGATACATGGACAGACAAACATCTTACAAAATCAGAATGCACTCGAGCATATCCTTAATCATACTGAATTATAATAACTTCTTACAAATTTAGAATTTACAGCTATAAATCGACCGGTCGGGTTTGTTACAGGCCAATTAGCAGAGATCTCGTATAAAAGGATCCAAGTTGGCCAGGCTTGATTCAGGGAGAGGTGAAACCGTGGAATTAGATGGTGCAGCCTGCAGTGCCAACTCATTCTGTGCAGGGCGAACACAAGGAGCAGGGCCTGTTGGGGATAACACAGAGGCATCCCCTCTTCCCCAGGTCAGCGGGGGCGCTAGTCCCTGCCCATTTGGGTCCGGGGGCGTTTCGTACAATACAAAAGGCTTTGTATTGTAGAGGTTCATCCCATGAAAATGTATTTTAATCAGGGAAGAAGAAAGTCTTATTGAGAAAGAAAGATGATTTAAAGTACATAGCACCATAGGCAGAAGAGAAAAAACCTGGGCAGGGGGTGCACCCTTCTCCTCCAAATGTTCAAAGAGAGGGGATCTGAGTGCATGATGAGCCTGTTCAACAACAGCCTGACCAGTGGGACCATATGGGATCCCAGTTACATGACAACTTTGCCATGTGGAACAAAAGGAAGCAAGAGCCAGTGAGGAATAGACTGGACTACTGTCAGTTTTAAGGGAGAAAGTTACATGCGTGGAGGCAAATGTGGCCAGAAGATGTTGAATTACATGTTGGGTAAATTTTCCATGCAGTAGAAAAGCCCAAATGAAATCAGAAAAGGTATCAACAGAAACACAAAGTAATGAAAAATGTTTTAAGATGTGTGACATCTGTTTGCCAAAGGTCATTGGAGCAGAATCCATGAGGGTTGACAGCATCAAAGGGAAAAGAGTGAGGCATAGCAGCACAATGTGAACCAGCAAAAGAAATAGCTTTAGCTTCAGAAAGGAGAATATGAAACAATTTATGCAAGGAATGAGCAGATTGGTGGGAAAAGTCATTGCTTTCTTTAGTGTTATCAAAAAGAGGGTAGAGAATACAGTGCTTGATCAGCAATAGCATTACCTTGTTGTAAAAAACTGGGTAAGGGTTGATGACTACAGCTGTGTAAAAGAAAAAGAGGGGCATGACAAGTGCAAAGAAGAGCCTGTAAATGTAAAAAAGAGACATTAGGTGTGGGTCTATTGCTGTAGGAGAAGATAACAGCAGAAGGTAGGTGTAGGGCAACATTACGTACATAT